ACCCACAGCAAATATAGTGAAAGCAGGGGTTATACTGTGGGGGAGGGACATACAAAGCAACAAAGAAATAATCTTATAGATGCGTTAGAAACAAATGCATGAAAGAAAAAAAACATTTAAATACATATCTAAGGGTTCATTTTCCTAACATCACATTATCTGACCTTTTCTGCTTGACTCATACATATACTAGATACTGCAAATAAGGGAAACCATGGGACCTATGTTTCTTTGGGCTTGGCTTACTTCACTTAATATAATTTTTCCAAGCCTTTCCATTTCCTAACAAATGGGGAAATGTCATTCTTTCTGATGGAGGCATAGAATTCCATTGTCAAAACCACTCAAATTCTTGAATATTCTTGGTCTTTAAATGCTTACTGTATGTATTGTATCTTTGCATTGTTCCTTACAATGAAAATTATGTTATCAATTACATTTTAATTATTTATTGCTTTAAAGGTACTCCTAAAGCTCTGATGGGTGCAAACTCTGTGACCTCTTTCTTGATTTTTTTTCTTATGGAACTTAACACATACTAAAAATTGACTGACTGTTGATTCTTTACCACAGCATCATGATAATGAGCTGAAAAGTTCTTTGAAGGAAATGTTTGTATTAACCACCTAACAGTGAAGGAGAGTATGGGTTTTAAACTGTTACATATAACTCTCTCTATTATTAAGGAGTGATTCTTAATGTCATTCTAAATTGGGTTTAAAAGAAATCATTACTACCATCTTAGGTCCAGGAAGCCAGGATTCTGCTCTCTGCCTACAGCATAAATGTTCCTGTTAATTGCCTTCTTGGGCTACATGTCCTTCTTGAAGCTGCAAACTTGAAGGATGAGATTAGCCTCTGTCACCTATGCTTTCATTAAATGGCAAACTTTAGAAATTCGAAATCCCAGAATTTCATGCTCAAATGGGATTGTCTATTTTCAAAATGTAGTGAATTTTTGTTGAGATCCAAACTCATGTATGTTCACGCATGTGCATATATAAATCTTCATGGTTTGGGTTGACCAAACAGAATTAAAGTAATATTGACAAGTAAGGCAGTGGTGGCACATTCCTGAAATCTTAGCTACTCAGGATCCTGAGATCTGAGTATCCCTGTTCAAAGCCAGTCAGGGAAGGAAAGTTTCTGAAACTCTTATCTCTAATTAACCATCCAAAACCCTTAGGTGGAGTTGTGGCTCAAGTGTTAGAGTGCTAGCTTTGAACAACAAAGCTCAAGGACAATGCCTAGTTCCCAAGTTAAAACTCCAGTTACCAGCATCCTTCCCACCCTCCCAAAAATGTTATTCATTAAGGTTAGTTGTTGATTCTTTATTTAAAAATACATGATTTTTGGCACTTGTAAGGAATTCAAGTATTTTGAAAAGCATGAATTCACATGTTTTAATGACATTTTGTATATAAGTAAAAATACTTAGCTTGATTTTATTCAAAGAATTATTTATTATTGCAAATATTTAGACAATTGGTATATGTGCCTTAAATTCATATTCATGTCATTGTCATCCAACTTTTCTAGGTCCATTTATCTTAATACTTGAAAAAAATGTAGCAAATCCAATATTTTAAAAATAAACATCATGCTTAAACTGTGATGTCTTTTCTACACTTACTGAACTTAATCATTATAGTAAATTTCAAGGCCTTTTACAAGATACCAACCTTGAATTTACATTTGTGTTTTATGGCATCCACATGAAACTGAAAAATATAAAGAACATTTCTAGTTTTGGTTAAGATTGTATTTAGGGGCTGGGATGTAGCTCAGTGGCAAAGCACTTGCCTAACAAGTACAAACAACATCCTGGGTTCGATCTCCAGTACCAGAAAAAAAAGAATAGACAAAAAATTACAGTTTAGAAAAAACAACAATCAAACAAACAAAAAGTACATTTCAGCTGGGGATGTGACTTAGTAGTAGAGTGCTTGCCTAGCTTGAATAAGGTACTGGGTTCTATTCCTTTGTACTATATGAACAAAAACTACTTTTTTTTTTGGTGGGTTATGGAGCTTGACCTCTGGACTTGGGCACTATCCCTCAGCTCTTCAGGTCAAGACGGGCGCCACTTCCACAAACTACTTTTTTAATGATGGTATTTAGAAGTTTTTCTGTTTTGACATTTTGCTTTTTGAGTTCAATTCCAATTTCATTCTTGGAAATAGAGGAAGAACTATTAATCAAATATCACAAATTTTATAGAAAATAATAGCCTGTGTAAATGTGTATTTGCAGCATCTTTGAGAAAATATTTTTCTGCCTATGATTTCACTACCAAGAATGTTCACCATCTAAACTCCATCCCAAATTAAAGAATATAATAATTTTGTAAACTGCTCTTTTCCAAACAAGAAGGGGAAGGTTTTCCAATAATCTCATATTTTACAGGAGTTAATGACCACGTGAATGCCTTTTCTTAATATGCAAATAGTCTGAAAATATTAAAATATAATTATTGAAGCAAAATATACTGTGAATCAAGCTTTATATCCCCATTGAGATAGTAAATGAAGTTGAATAGACAATAATTATATACATTAATTTCCAACACATCCATTTTCTTGAGAAACAAAATTAGTTTTGAGTAGAAACTTATCCAAAATAAGAATAATCACTGAATAAGTACTTTATAGGTTCTCCTGTGGGAAAAACACAGAGAATTTTGAACATTTATACAGACAGATTTTATTATTACATTATCTAGGTTCACAGCTATGTTTAGAATCATTACTTGGACATTTGCACTTGATATTAGCAAAGGCTCAGAAGGGATGTTAGCCATTTAAATGACAAATGAGAGTGCTGGATCACTTTTCATTTAAGCATATGAGCCATAATAGTCAAGGGTGAAAGGCATTTAGAAAGACAATTTCATCCAAGGCTCCATGAAATTATTAGAGCAACCCTGATAAACAGTGGGTATATTTTATAAAATTATATCCCTGCTTTAGAAGGAACTCATTTTTTAATACCAGTGTAAGGAGGTTAGTTACAAATGAATTTTATTACATAGAAATTTAAAGTTCACTTGATGGATACTTCAATTATTTGTAGAAATTTATAGTAGATAATTAAAAGTACTTAGTGTCAGAACAGTCCTACATTGTGAAGAAAGTATCCATTCTACTAGAAACACTACTAATTGAAATTCAACCAGTTTGATTAAATGATCCCTTATCACCAATTATAATGAAAAACTGCAAACAGAATGTGTTACATAAATGTATTCTAAATCATTGAGATATGGTATCAAGATATAGAGCACTTACTCACTATGTGAATGTATTTTTATCTTTTCTAGTATACTGTGAGAGAAATTATAAACTCCAGTGACAAACATGTTTTTGCAAGGATTTCAGAATGCTTTTCTCATTTATTTGAATTCTGTTACAACTATCCAAACTGAGTAGAATATAAATTTCCAATATAAAAATATATAATCTGAGATAGATGTCATCTATCAACTAATTAGCTAGTTACTGAAATACTTTCCTTGCTGGCTGATAGTGGCTCACGCCTGTAATCCTCCCTATTGAGGAGGCTGAGATCTGAGGATCACAGTTCAAAACCAGCCTGGGCAGAAAAGTCCCTGAGACTCTTATCTCCAATTAACCACCAGAAAACTGGGAGTAGTGATGTGGCTCAAGCAGTAGAGCACTCGCCTTGAGCTGAAGAGCACAGGGATAGTGCCCAAGCCCAGAGTTCAAGCCCCATGACCGACCATAAATAAATAAATAAATCGTTTAAATAGGGATACAGGTGGACCCATTGCAACAATGAGATGTACAAGGTGTTGTGTCAAAAAATAAATTTTACAACTTTGGGGGGATAGGAAGGGGAAAAACTAAATAAGATAAAATAAAATGCTTTTCTTAAATTTCTCTTTAAAATGAATAAATTTTCTCACACAATCAATTGGCAAGGTACAAGATATTGTAGTTAGTGTGACCTAGATCAGAGGAAAAGCCCAGTGCTGAAGATACTTATAAAGACTTTATATCTGGTCTTCCCTCTCTCTCTGTCTCTCTCTCCTCCTTACCTGATATACTTCAGTCCCTAGCCTTGCTGTCCCCAAATATTTCTGTCCATGTCAATGCTTATACCTCCTGTTTCTTCCTTGAATTTTCTCTCCTTTAAAATACTACTTAAATACAATCTCCTCACCCAGGCCTTTCCTTCCTATCCCACTTAAACTTGTAAACTTCTTCCTCTTCTACTTGGTGATTTATTATTCCCCATTGTACTCTCCACTCTATTATCCACTTTACTCATTCTAGTTTTTATTGCTTCTCCCTCCTGTACTGTAAAATACAATAAAGCAAAGTGTAATTTGTTCAACTAGTTAATGGCTGTGTCCTCAGGTCCAGAATAGTACCTAATAAATATTTCTTGAGTAAATCTAAGGCCTTGTCTATGTCTATTTCCCATCAAAATATCCACATAAATATTTAATCAAATCTTGGAAAACATACCTCAGTTTGTGATAAATTGGATATGAAGACAAGTGAGAAATCTAGAGTGTATTTGTCACTTGTCTAGTTGTTTTTATTAGATAATGGATGCTATTTTACATTCTCTTAGCGTGACAGGAAATAGCTTAAGTATTTTATTTTTCTGTTGTTGTCTGTGCTTTTTTGGATTTTGTTTGTTTTGTTTTGTTTTGTTTTTGCCTGTCCTAGGACTTGAACTCAGGGCCTGGGCTCTGACCCAGAGCCTCTCTGTGCTCAAGGTTAGTGTTCTACTACTTGAGCCACAGTGCTACTTCTGCCTTTTTCTGAATAATTTATTGGAGATCATATCACTGGGCCTTTTCTGCCCTAGCTGGCTTCGAATTACCATCCGCAGATTAACTTCCTGAGTAGCTAGGATTACAGGTGTGACCCCCGTGCCCGGCCGGCTAAATCATTTTTAAGCAATTATTTCTTTTTACCTACTATGGTTTGAAATCATCTAATTCCTTTCATTTCATTTCCCTTTTGTAGTGGGATGCCATCACTGAAATGGATGAGCACAACAGGCCCATTCATACTTACCAGGTATGCAATGTCATGGAACCAAACCAAAACAACTGGCTTCGTACAAACTGGATCTCCAGGGATGCCGCCCAGAAAATTTATGTGGAAATGAAGTTCACACTGAGGGATTGTAACAGCATCCCGTGGGTCTTGGGGACCTGCAAAGAAACATTTAATCTGTATTATATGGAATCAGATGAGAGCCACGCAATTAAATTCAAGCCAAGCCAGTATACAAAAATCGACACAATTGCTGCTGATGAGAGTTTTACCCAGATGGATTTGGGTGACCGCATTCTCAAACTCAACACGGAAATTCGAGAAGTGGGGCCTATTGAAAGGAAAGGATTTTACCTGGCTTTTCAGGACATTGGGGCATGCATTGCCCTGGTCTCAGTACGCGTTTTCTACAAAAAGTGTCCCTTCACTGTGAGGAACTTGGCCATGTTTCCTGACACCATCCCAAGGGTTGATTCTTCTTCCTTGGTTGAAGTCCGTGGCTCTTGTGTGAAGAGTGCTGAAGAGCGAGATACTCCTAAACTGTACTGTGGTGCTGACGGGGACTGGCTGGTTCCTCTGGGAAGGTGTATCTGTAGTACCGGATATGAAGAAATCGAGGGTTCTTGCCACGGTAAGAAATCTTTAAGTAATTTTTCCTTTAAGTGATTTTTTTCCCCCCAGAGTGAATGTGTTCTACCATCATTTTCGAACAAGATTATGTATGGATATGGTGAAAGAAGTGAACTCTTCCTGGCTATGGGAACATGACTTGAATATTTTTGTCCTGGAATTAGTGTACTATTGTCTTTTGTGAAGGCGCTTTATACTATGAATTATTACACTCAGCTAATATTTACAGATGAAAGCAACACTCACCGCAGCAACAAAAAAAAAATAGGGTTCAAAATAGGAATTTAATGTTCAGGCTTTGGTGGTTTGCAGACTATAGGAGATCAAAATAATCATTTCATTCATATTGAATTTTAATAATTGAAACAAAATTAAATATGATTAGATTTATACAAATGAGGAACTTGTATATGTTTAAAACTATGGGCCATGGGACACAAAGAAGATATGTTTAGTAATTGAGTATTGTTCTTATCAGAAGTGAATTGATCTTTTGTTCCTATTAAGTGCAATTTCCTGTATTATTATTATTATTAATTTTAATGACATTGTTAGTTTAAGATAAAATCATTAACAAATATAAATACCTGAGACTGCTATTTAAGTTTAAAACTAAAATTTTCACATGGTTATGGCCAAGAGTAAATGTAATTCCCAAGATAAAGCATGTTTCTATATTTGATTCATTTAATGAGGGCTTACTGGTCTAAAAACATACATTTTAAATTTGAATGTGCCTTTTTCTATTTATATTTGATTTTCTCATAATCAAAATATAAATACAGAAAAGTTACTTCTTGGTAAAAAGTAACATTCTAGGGAGCTTTCTTAAAGGAAAATCATTTATACGGTATTTTCTTATAGATCTAACTTATGGACCTCTCAGTTGATGCTGTGTTTTCACTCATTAAAAAAATGTGAATCCAAGCACAATGGCTCAACATCTGCAATTTTAGCTACTCAGGAGGGCTGAGATCTGCAGAATCTCTATTTGAGGCCAGCCTAGATAATAAAGACAGCTAGCCTCCATCTCCAAAATAAACAGCATAGACAGAGTTGTGCTCAAGTGTTAGCGCTCTGGCCTAGCAAGCCTAAAGCTATGAGTACATTTTTGGCACAGTATACCAAAAGGAAAGAGAGAAGGGAGAGAGGGAGATGGAGAGAGAGAGAGAGAAAGGAAGGAAGGAAGGAGGAAGGAAGAAAGGAAGGAAGAAAGGGAGGGAGGGAAACATAAAAATAAATAAGAAAATAATTGTTTATTAAGCTGTTTTATAATAACAGACATATCTATGAAATTATAAGTAATATAATTCGACTTTTTCAGAATCTGTTTATCAAACAGTTGGGATCTTGATTCTTGAAACTTTCACTAAAGCCTGCAATAATGATGATTATATTTGTTACTGGTAAATGCTTAAATTGGCATGAGAAGTTTGTGGTAGGTACGGCATGGTCCACAAGCCAACCTTTATCTACTATGTGTAAACTCAAAATTTTGTGCAAGTTTATCATTACTTTGGGTAAAATCTAAGATTTACATTCTCTTATAACAAAGATATATAATACAAACAAAGCCATACAATGGGTTTATCAAATATTTTACCTGATGAAATGAATAAAGATAAAAAGTAATATGAATGAATAATTGTTCAGTAGGTTTAGGAAGACAATTAGAATTTGAGGTAAAAAATATTCTATCTAGTAATTCTGTCATTTTGCTGCATTTTAAATCAGGTCAACAGACATTGATTAAGATAAAATACTTATAAATATTTAAAGGATAGTTCAGTAATAAAATAATTTATATAATTAGCTATTATTAAATATCCCTTTAATGTAAGTATTTTTATGCCATTGGCCACAGGATGAAAGTATGCAACAATGAATGATGTACAATGCATCTATCATGCAACAGTAATAGCTGAATATTGTAGGTGTTGTTATTTTGTTTTGTTTTTACATAGTATGCTCACTCTATGAAATTTCATACTAATTTCCATGCCTTAAAATCTCTTCAAGTTGTTTGGCAGAGCTGATTGAATGATAAAAAGCAAAGCTTTATGCAGAGCCTCAGTTTTTCTGACTTCATGTCCGGTTACCTTCATCTGAATTGCAGAAATCAGGAGTGTGAGATGGTTCAAGATTTACTAAGTTTGAAATCAATTCCCTATGTAGAAGATAGTGGATAGAATCATGCTGAAGTTAAAAATAAACAGATAATAATCAATACAGTAACAAATAATCTACCATTTGCAAACAAAAGGGAAATCAAGAGCAGATGAGAAATACTTTGAAAGACAAACATTTCATTTAAAAATATTGAATTGCTTGTGGGTTTTTTGTTTGTTTGTTTTTGTTTTCTCAGTCGTGGGGCTTGAACTCTGGGCCTGGGCACTATCCCTGATCTCTTCAGCTCAATGAAAAAACTCTACCACTTGAGCCACAGCACCACTTCTGGTTTTCTGGTAGTTTATTAGAGACAAGAATCTCACGTACTTCCCTGCCCTGGCTAGATTTGAACGGTGATCCTCAGATCTCAGCCTCCTGAGTAGCTACAGTTATAGGCATGAGCCATTGGCACCAGCTGCTTGTGTGTTTTCTTTTCTTTTTTCTTTCTTTCTTTCTTTTTTTTTTTTTGGTCATGGGGCTTGAACTCTTGGCCTGTGTGCTGTCCCTGAGCAGTGCAGCTCAAGGCAAGTGCTCTTCCCCTTGAGCCACAGTGCCACTTCCAGTTTTCTGGTAGTTTATTAGAGACAAGAATCTCACGTACTTCCCTGCCCTGGCTAGATTTGAACTGTGATCCTCAGATCTCAGGCTCCTGAGTAGCTAGGATTACAGGTGTGAACCACTGCCACCCGGCTGCTTGTGTGTTTTCTTAGCACTTCATATTGCCTCTTTTTACCTCTCTGAGTATAATTTGTATTATTATTTCTATTGTTGCCAATCAACAATTTATCTCACTGTCAAATTTGTGTTGTGTGCAAGTAGATATCATGGTTATTTAAACCAGCTTCAAGAGAACTATTCATAAACATACATGTCTATATGGAAATAAAAATCTCAAATAGTAATGTGACTACAAATACAATGGAAGATGGAGAAACAGTGTCTGTACATCACTTATTTTCTGACTTATTCTTCTAAGACAGTTAAACTATTCATGTTTGATTTTCATTCTTTGGCAGTACCAAAATTTGAACAATGGTGCTTTCTAAGTAAATGTTCTACCACTTCAGTCATACCTCTACTCATTTAAACTTCGTATAAAGTATGATTCATATTTTTTCCCAGATCATTCTAGATAGAGGTCATTCCATATTGGCATATAGTCCAGATGCCAGTCACTCTTTACCACATCCAACGTATTGGTTATGATGTGTGTCTCACTATCTTTTTACTTAGGGGACCTTGCTTGAAACTTGGTCGTCAAATCTCTGCCTTTGAATTAGTTTATATTACAAGTGCAAGACACCCTTTCCAGATATTTAATATTTTGAAACCTACTCTCTAATAATCACTTTGATAGGTAGTGAAGATTAATATAAATAAGGTATATATTTCAGGCAAAGTTATATATTGCTATGAGACAAAGCAACACAGAACAGACTTGCTGAAAATCAAAATGAATTAAGAATTCTCAGTAGTAGTTATATTAAATGTAGAAAAGACAAAAACTTACATGGGTGCTATGGAATTCTCTTGGAACAAGGGAAGCTTACAACCTATAGAGTTCCTTTCTTCTATCACTGCTGTGAGCCGGAAAATTTGCTTTCATGAGAGTTTCAGAGTTTGGGAACTGAAAGGGCTTAGAAAGTAATTGCATTCCTCTCTTTAGGTAGGGAAACTTCATTTCTTGACACTACACAGAAGTAACTAACACTACATTAACAAACATTACATTGGGAACTGAAGCCCAGCTGATTTTTGGTTTGGCTTTTATGAGTTTTTTTTTCATTCCTGTATTCTGTTCTTACTATCTAATTCTCCCTCTGTCCTGCCTTCTCTTTCACTCTGTTTCTCTCTTTGTCTCTCTGTCTCTCTCTCCGTCTGTCTCTGTCTTTTTCTGTCTCTTTGTCTCTGTCTCTACCTCTGTTCCTTTGTCTCTATCTCTGTCTCTCTGTCTCTGTCTCTCTCAGTCTATCTTTTTTAATTTATTCTACTTAACGTCAAATTTTCTATGAATAGGATTTTTTAATGGCATGGATTTAAAAAAAATACTTATGTAAGCTGTGCACAGGTGGCTCACACCTAAAATCCTACCTACTAAGAAGGCTTAGATCTGAGGAGCCCTGTTCAAAGCCAGCCCAGGCAAGAAAGTTGATGAAACTTTTATCTTCAATAAACTACTCAAAAAAAGCTGGAAGTGGCCCTGTGGTTCAAGTGGTATAGTACTACCCTTGAGCAAAAGAAGCTCAACGACAGAGCCCAGGCCCTGAGTTTAAGACCTAGGAATAGCAAAATAATATTAATTATAATAATAATATTTATTTACTTCAAATAGTCTTCTAGCTTATGTATCTAAACTGTTTTAAACACCATAAGAAATAACTGGAAACAATTAGCAAGCAAAATTTGATGGGATTGTTGCTGAGCAAATGAGTTCTGAAGGGACAAGAATCCCTAATAAGTTCCTTTTACCATAAGTTTGGGATAAAGCTCATTAAAGTAGTGGCATTTATATTTACAGATATTAATTTAGGTTCAGGATTTCAGACCTGCTGAGAATGCATATGTACTGCAAGTACACTTTCCCGAAAGCCTTTTAATGGGACATGTTATAATTTTACAAAATAACTTTTTGCTATGGGAATTGAATTTCTGAATCATTGAGATTTCTTTTTCAAACCTTTCCCTTTCCTAGAAGCATGCTCTTATTTACTTATTTCCACCTCTGGTACTGCTTTACAATTCAGGAAGCAGAAATGGTGACAGTTCTCAGACCATTGCGTTATTGTTCACCCGAGTGAATAGGATCCCCAAGGCCCTTGGTGACATTGCTAT